ACAGTGCCGCAGGAGTCTGGTGTCCTGTGTCTCCCCCAAGGTGGCCGCCTTCTGTGACGTTGATGAAAACAAGATCAGGAAGGGCTTTTACTGCTACGAGGACTCTCAGGTGTGCGGGAGTCCTGGGGGCTGGGGCTTGGCCACGCAGAGGGCCCCCACACCACGCTGACCCGCCTCCAGGCTCCCTCCTGGGAAAGGCCACCTGGGCCCAGACAGCTGCAATCCGCAGGCTCCTGCACCCACTCCCATCTTCCTGTTGGAGAACCCTGCTCACAGGTCTGGGGCTCCCAGTCACCCACCTCGGGCTGGTTCTGCAGCGGCTGCAAGGTGGCCGGATGAGGGGGGTGGGTCCTGGGTCCAGCCCTCGGTGTCCAGTTGCGGGCGGAGCAGGGGCTCAGGTAGCGCCCCCCCCGCAGTGGTGGTGCTTCCTGCAGGAGCTGGAGGAACATGAAGCAGTGCCCACAGCCCGTCTTGTCTCTTAGGAGAGGCCCAAGCCCCAGGTGCCCATCCTGCACTTCCGAGCTGCCCGGCCGCCCTTTGTCATCTGCGTGAAGCTGGTGAGTATTGGGCTGTGGCTGTGGGGCTGTGACAAGCCCTGGATCACGAGGTGGCAGATGGCAGCAGGGCCTTTGGGAGCTGTTTCCAGGGCTTTGCTGTGAGGACGTCCTGACGCTCACCTGACGCCTCTCCAGGTTTGGTACCGGGAGTGGAAGTGCGGGTCGTGGGGTGGCTGTGTCTTCCGTCCACTTCACTAGACGATGTCCCACAAAGTGGGCAGGCCAGAGGATACCCAGAGGCAGGATGGGGTCCCAGGCCACAGGCTCACCGACTGGACAGTGAGAGCCAGTTCCCCAGCTAGGGCTGTGGCACTCACTCGTTTTAAGATGCATGTCTGATTACCCGTGAGGCTGAGCACCTTCCTGTAGCTCCTGGGCACGTGCAGTTCTGTGCCGTTTCTGAGCAGGCGTCTCCCTTTATCTGTGGGGTTGTGCCTCCTGACAGCTGAACAAGTCACCTGCACCTCCTGGGTTGTGACCCTTCATTGGTTTTGTCTGGACTTTTCTTTCCTTAATGGGCCATGTCAATTTATAGACACATCCAACTGCAGTGAAGTCTTAAGGAGAACCTTCCGCAGTCAGGAACAGGCCCTCCTTCCCGTAGGCCCCCTGCAAGCCCAGGGCTGTCAGCCTTTGTCCACAACCTCTGGGCCAAACTCCAGGCTGAGCCTGAGCCCAGGAGTGTTTCCCTTGAAGTCTCAGGAGCGGAGTGAGAATGGGGAGAAGGGGGTTCAAACATGGACAGCAAGGCAGAGGCCAGAACCTGGAAACTTCAGATGTTTTCAAGGAGAGTGGTTTTCACTTACTACTGGGCCCTGCTACACGTATTTAACTGCAGGAGGAGCAGTGATGGCCCAGGGTGTGCCCAGCCAGGCTGGCTCCTGCATTGGGCAGTGGGCCTGACCTATGAATGATACCCAAGGGGAACGAACGTGGTAGCCAAGCAGAGCACTGGCCTCTCCCATGTGCTGCTGGAAACCAGGGACTTGCTGGTGGGCTGGTTGTGTCTTTGGGGAGTCGAACTATTGAGGCAGCAGGGTCGTTGCGTGAGGCATGGGATAGGAGCCCTTGGGTGCAGGAGGGCTTGGTGGTAAGAATCAGGGCCAGGGTTAGGGTTGGGGTTAGGGTTAGGTGGCCTGGTGAAAGCCAGCATTGGTGCACAGGCCAAGTTGAAGCATTTAGAGACCTGTCCCCAAGTCCTGCACCACCCTGGGGTCACCTCAGGGACCTTGCAGGATCACGTGTAACACCTGGATGGAGCCTGCCTCCTGGGTCCTGACCCTCCTCGCAAGGTCATGGCCCTCTCGACGGGGTGAAGCGGGAGGCAGGAGGGATCCATCAGCAGCTGGGTGTTGAGTGGCAGTTTCTGTCTCCAGGGGCCGCCTCCCACTTTGGCCCCTGCAGAGGAGGTAGATGGGGGTCTTCCCTGAACAAAGGGGTGAGCAGAAGGGACTATGAGTCCCACTTCCTTCCCCAGGTCCCTATGGTGGGGCCAGTTGCCGCCTTCAGGGAGGGGCTGAACCAGGCTTAGTGGAGGCGTCTCACTAGGCCCCCACCTCCCATGGTGACCAATAGGACACTGTGGCCCCTCCCCTCTGAGCAGTGCAGCACAAGTTCAGAGTGGACCTCCTGACAGGTGGCCACAGGGGACTCCAAACCCGGGAGGGAGGCTCTGTGGGGACTCCAGTGCGGGCCAAGGGAGGCCTGGATCATGCCAGACCTGTTCTTCCTCCAATAGGACCTTACAGGGGGCGCATTTGAGGACAACCTGAGGTCGCTGCACCTGCAGGAGGGCCGGGACTTCCTTCACTTCAGCTAACAGACCCGCAGCAGCCAGGGTGTCCTGCAGGTGACAAGGGATCGAGAGCAGGTTGGGAAGAGCGGCCATGTAGCCCGTGTGGGAACCCGTAGGTGGTGGTGGTGGCGGTGGCTGATGCAGGGCCAGCCTGCATGAGAGGTGGCCCTTCACCTGGGGGGGGTGTGAGCGTATTCTGATTGGTGTAGGGCCCACACCCTCACCATGCACCTGACACGCTACACACTGCAGATCAAGACAAGGAGCAGGTCCTCTGCTGTCATCTGTCCCCCAGAGGGCTTCTGCATCGGGGACGGCTGCCTCCCAACAAGTATGAGCGCCCGCAGTCCCCTTAGACGCGTTACCACGGGTCCGTTCGCTCTGGTGTCTCCTTTGCCTGCGTGTTCCTAGCTGTCCTGGATAATTTCTGCAGGTCTTCTCGCACTAGTTCTCTGAGCTGTGCCCATTGAGCATTTTGTCTTTAATCTCCTTGATAAATTCATTTCACACTTTGTGTCTTGATTCTAAAAGTTTCTGAAATAGGAACTCACATTCTCTTAACTCCCTGTGGGGATTCCCCCTTCCAGAGGGGGTTTCCTCGGCCTCTTCTGCTCCATCTGGTCAAATTCCCTTGTTCAGAGTTTTGCGGATCTTCCACCCCAGCACCAGGTGGAGCCTGAGACAAGTGTGTTCGGGGAGGTGGCCTGGCTCTTATTCTACCTACTGCTGAGAGTGCAGCTACTTAGGGTCCCAGCTCCACGTGGGGGGCGCCTGTTAGGTTTGGCCTGGCTGTCACCTTAGGTCCTGTCCCCAAGCTGCCATCAAAACAAAACTTCACAATTAGACTCTGGGGCTCATCAGACACGGATCCTCGGGCCTCCAGGTCCCCGCTCACTTGGAGGGCCTCTGCTTTGTGTCTGGGAGATGGCTGTGTGCATGCAGCCCCCACCAGCCACCAACTCTTCCACATTCCAATTCTTGCTGCTCTTCAAACTCACAACACACTCCTTTCTGGGGCCACAAGTTTGCCCTTCTCTCTGGGGCCCATGCTG